AAGCATTTTTCATTGATTTGTCATAGATTTGTATTGTTAATATAAAATCTTATATTAAATGCTTATACTAGGAAACAATATTTTAAAATGAAATTGTAACCATTAATCATCTGAATCTGAATCAACCATACCATGGTTTCATTTATTTGTTAATTGCTTAATTTTTTTCTTGCAGTTGCTTAACTTACCTTGCTGTAGCTTGTGTTAATGGAGGCTTAACAAAACAGACAATAAATAATTTCAGAAAAAATTTAAATTTTTGATATTACATAATTATCGAGTACAAGAATAGATATTATCAAAGTGTTTTAGAATTTTGAAATACAACAGCGGTTTTCGTTATGATTTTGTTTCAGCTTATAAGTTTTTATATCTGTCATCACTTAAGTGTTGATACTCTACCAATTTGTTGTACTTTCAATTATAACTTGCTGATTTTCCTAAGTCTTACTGTTCACTTAAAAACAATACTAATGTGTCATCTTGTCTAGTAGAGGTAAGTGTTGCAGATTTGAAAAAAATAAATAAACCATCAAACACAAAGAAGCAACTTTAACAAAAAAATAATTTTGCAATACAATTTTATGACACTATTTTTTTATTTTATGACACTTTCTTACTAATTATTTTTTTCTCTTTTTTTACTTACATCTTTATAGTGTTCAAAGTAAAAAGTTTAAAATTATAGACACGCCTAATGTAACTTTTAAATGATTTATTTAAATTCCATACTATGTATCTTCATTTATTTGTTAATTGCTTAATTTTCTTCTCGCGGTTGCTTAACTTACCTTGCTGGAGCTGTTTGAACAGCTCTCTAAACAGATAATATCTTCTCAAACAAATATCAAAAAATATACTTTTTTCCTAACCAATCCAGTAGTGTAGAAATTATGAATATCTAATGCATCCTTTATAAAATCTGTTAGTTAATCTGTTATTAGATTAAAATCTGAATCTGTAGATTTTGTAAAAATTGCTCAATTTTACCTGGTCTACCCTATGTGATGTTTGTTTTTGCACATTTTTTGCTTTAATGACACTAGTTAAATGTAATTAATTTACTAATTTTGTTAGTAAACTATGAATTTTTATAAAATTATTAGTTTACAAACAAAATTAGTAAATTTAATAAAAGTAATTTGATGCCAATAAGTTGCCTTTCAAGAAAAATGATCGTCTGGTGCCATTAAACATGTCTGTATAACATTGTCCCCAATTATTTGTATACTTTTTTATCCAGAATTCGTTTAGTTGAGGACCATCAATGCTGATGAACATCAATGATATATATTTTATGACATAATGCTTTGTACATCTGTACTGATGATATTTATAATTGAGTATCATCTGTACAATAGACATCAGTGATTTTTAACTTTTTTTCGAAATTGCAATTACTTCAAATTAATAATAATAAACAAACATATTACCAAATAGATTAATTTAAAGAAATGATAACAAATTAAAACGTATATTCTTTCTTTGTTCTAAAATATTTTTGTTTCTTTTGACTTTATCATTTAGCTAGAATATAAGCATTTCTTTTCTTGAGGTTAATAAATTTTCTGCTAGCATCAGAAGTTGTTTTCACTGCTCTTTCAACCGTTTGCAAGTGGCACGGAAAATTGGGAGCCTTTCCCTGATTCGGAATCATATTCAAAAGCTCCTCATTTGATATATCTTCCACACAAGGGGGCTCAAAACAGTCTATATCATACAAATTTATTAATTTTGACCAGTTTTTACATCTACAATCAATCACTGGAATGGCATTAACCCTAATACCATCTTTTAATCCATTTTTAGGATCCTTAATTAGGGTTTTTCTTGTTTCCAAAATCTTAACAACAGCAATTGTTCTATAAACCTGTTCTTCAGAATAATGTAGAGCAGCAATAAAATTTTCAGGTTGGAGACAAAAAGAGTTTCTATAAGTTATGGGCAATGTAATATTTTGAACTTCAGTATCCAACCTCAAAATCCGCTGAATAAATTGGAAAATGAGTTTAGGACCCTCTGTGAAACTCTTAGACTTTTTGATATTAAACCACATAGGAGTATATACTGTTTGAATATATTCAACAAAGATTTTGAGCTCTCTACTGGGATTGGTTGTTCTTGTGTATAGTGCCAAGATCTGTACTGCTGTTGTCAGCCACCTTACATGACAGATAGGGCCTAAAAATATAATCTTTTATATATAAAAATTAATTAATAGTTTAATTTAATAGTAAATTATATATTAATAAATATATATTTACATAAACTTTAAACAAACAAAATAAAAGGAAAAATATTAGGAACAAATGATTTACAAAACAACACACCTATTTTTTTTCTCAGATACTTATTGTCTGAAAACCCTTTAGAAATTCCAATACTATATTCCAGTAGCATTCTCTGGTCAGCAGAGAGGTCTTTAATGACACACTGAGGAGGATATTCAACGTCTGTCTCAACTTGTATGAAGTCAACAGTTAAATTTAAATGAATTGGATTTGTTAAAGATTTTCCAACTGGTCCTTTAAAATAATAATACTATTATTATTTGATCAAGTATATTAATATTAATAGTTATAACTTTTTACTGAAAATAATAATTTATAATTATGCTTATCAGAATAAAGTAAAGCAGCAATAAAACTTTTAAGTAAAAAATAGAATTTATATAAATTTTAATATTTTTGCTAAATAATAATCGGATAATCTAAATAATATTATTATCACCAAGAATGTAAAATAATATTATTATTTAGATTACCCGAATAATTATTTGAGCTATTAAAAGAACCATCAAGTTTAGAAATTAAATGACGCAATGGTAACTCGTTAACATGTAGAAGACAGCCAGTTAAATGAATTCTTCTTTTCAATATTCTTTCAAGACAAGCAACTAAACCATTATCTTTACCTAAAATGATATAGTAATATGAAAATATATCACTCAAATAAAGATTTATATATTATCTTTTTTTATTTTTCGGACAGGCGTTTTTGAAGAAAAAATATACCTGTATTAACACTTGTATTGTCCAAAATTATTGCCTGGATACTTTTATCACTCTTAAACTCCTTGAGAACATTTCAGGTAAATTCAGCAAGATCTTTTCCTTTACTTTTTTCTTTAGGTACATCTATGTGCTTTAGATATTGACCTTGCAACTCTCCTTATTCAAATTAAAACATTTTTATTAGTAAAAAATAAAATTAAAAAAAAAAATACCAAGATAAAAGAGATAACATTGGCCTTTACCTGATTCAATTGTGAATGTCAAGTGGTCTACAGTGCTGGTAGATTTACAAAGTTTTATTTCACCATCAATATCTGTCTGTTCATAAACCAATGAGTTTTTATTACGTTAGCTATCCAAACCAATTGCCTTTATATTTGAAACTTTAGATTGCTCAAAACTAGTATTAAAGCATACTCGTTCTTTCTCTCTCTTCATTTTACTTGGATAATTACATCATTTAGATGTAGATAACTAATATCTTGAAGTAGAGCATTAGCTACAGTGGCAGCTGCTTCATCTGATATTCCATATCTAATTACCTCTAAAGCAAATTTGGGATAGTGGGTAGTGTTGTAGTACTTTGATCTAGTCTGATTTAATGATGAAATTGAAGTTTCTCTCTGTAATTATAGAAAAAAATACAACAAAACTTCCAGAAATTAAAAATCATAACAATGAAAATTTTACATTTAATTGTATTAACATTTAAGATGCTCTAATTAACTTTAGAGCATTATATTTAAAAGAGTTAAGAAATTTAAGAATATATATAGTTTTTATTATATAATCAAAGTTTACAGGTCACAATTTATTACCTAATCTGAATCCATGATTGTGTCAAACTCTTTAATATAAATTTCTTTATCAGAAGCTTTTGTTTGCTTTGTTTTTCTTGAGGTAGGTGATAAAACAGAGTTATCAATACCTCCTATTTGAAACTTTCCTTTAGTACTAATTTTCTCCCTTTGGCCTTTTATATAGGAGCGTTCTTCTAAAAGAACCTATTTTCAATAAATTTGTGTAAAATGTGTTATTATCTAAAAATATAAAAAATAGTAATAAAATATAAAAAAGTTTATCAAATAAAAATTAAATAAGTTATTTAAAGTTTAGTTTAAAATAAATTACTTTGTATAACTTACTTTTTCACTACCAACACAACTACAGTAAAGATGCACATTTGAACAACCTGAGCATTTGATATTTCTGTCATCACAAGGAAGAACTTCAAGCTTGCAGTTACATGCTAGCAGATCAAAAAGTTTTTCTTTATTTTTTTCCAACAATTGTTAAAGGTTTAATTTTATTTCCATTCCAAGAGATAACATTGTTTTAAAATCTTAAAAGTTTAGCAATCAAACTTTTTTCAGGTAACATAACTAATTTGGAATTGCAAAAACCATATTTCTTTTAAACTACAAAGCATTCTTTGAATAATAACATTTTTGTTTTTAATACCATCTAAATCTTTTAATTTGTAGAAAAATCTTGCTACATCATCATAAGTTGCTAGATCTGTAATAGGAAGATCAGAAGGGCTACCACCATATAAATTACACTGTCTAGTTTTTTCTACAGGAGGCTTTTTTTTTATTATTGTTATAAATTAAGTTTGATAATATAGTTAATATATTTTATAAATTTTATAACTCCTTAAAAATAACAGTAAAACGCTTTCGCAAGGTTCAATCTATAATTTGATACTCTGCTTTTTGGTTTGTTTACATTTTTTTAAGGCCGAATGTCATAATAAACAGGGTGTCAAAACAAACTTGAAAAAATGTATAAAACTATTTTTAAAAAACACAATTGAATAACTGGAAAATGTATTTTTTATAATTATTGAATCAATGATGCACAAAAAATATATTTTTTAGTTTTTTTAGTATGTTTTTCAAAACAATCCTTTCTAGTTCTTTCAGTTTATCCAGCAGAGTGAACACCCCGATATATCCAATAAAAATGGCGACATAAGAAATCTTTTAAGTTGGAATTTTAATGCTTATTTTTAAAATAAGATAGCTTCTACCCAACTTTAAAAGTTACTTTTTTTTGCCAAAATTTCTATTTTTTTTTAAGGTAATTACTCCAGCTTGAAGTGATAAATTTCCAGATATTGCTGGTGTCTACTGTACAATACTTTCACATTCTACATTGCTTACAGCTATAATCTTGGTTCTCTTTTCTTTCTTCAAAGATAGATATGAGATAATAGATTAAGTGAATTGGTTTTGTGTAAATTTTTTAATTGAATAATTTTAAAAGTTGATTTAAGTTTTTCTAATGCATCATACATTAATGCCAAATTTTTAAGGATGACATGCTTGCAAGGTCTTTAAAATTTCCCTCATTTTAGTCTCCTTTTAGATCAATTGATGGACTTATGAAATGCAATTGATTATAAAAATTATATATATATATATATATATATATATATATATATATATATATATATATATATATATATATATATATATGTATATATATATATAGATATATATACATATTTATTTTAATGTTTAAACTTTATTTATAAAAATTTATTTTAATGTTTAAATATATATATATATATATATATATATATATATATATATATATATATATATATATATATATATATATATATATATATATATATATATATATATATATATTATATATATATATATATATATTTATTTTAATGTTTAAACACCTGTTATTCATTGTGGTTCTAGATGAAAGAAGAATTTGATTTGAAAGAATCTAACATCAGAATCCTCGAACATGAAATCTCTTTGTTAAAATTACATTTTTCTACAGAGAAAAATGAAATAGAGAAAAAGGTGACATATTAACATAATTTGTTACAAATTGATAACTAAATTAATCATTGTTGTCATAATAAAGTAAATCTTTTCTGAAGCATCTTTTACTGCTAAATGAATACGATGCTGTAGCTAATGCTATGAAACAGAAAATTGAAGAGCTAGAAGAAGAGATTAACAAACTTCAATCAACTGTATTAGAATCTTCAGTAGGGTTTGATTTTGATCCTTTAAATCATCTCATTACTTATTTTGTTAAATTTTATATATCTATATATAGTTTTCCCCTACTTTTTAAGGCAACACAAATTTCACAAGACAAAAATTTCACGGGTTATATCTCTAGAGGTTGCAATTTAAAATTAAACAAAGAATTCTCCAAGTTAAGTAAAGACCTTCATTACAATGTTCAGCATTTACAAAATTTAAAGCAAAGATATGAAAATGTAGTGAGTAAAGTTAAAACTTTTTATTGCTTTAAAGAACACAAACCAGTTTAGAATATTTGTTACTTTGCATTTTTCCTTCCTAACTTTGTAACCCCTATAAATCTTTTGAGTGATAATTTGCTAAAATACAATTAAAGAAATAAAATCAAAATTTATAATTTGGATTTCCTAAACATTAATTTTTTTGTTTTGTTTTTAAGTTTGAAAATCTTGCTAAAAATTCAGAGAAAACTATAGATGCTCTTGATAAATTGTGGCTCCAAATCCAGGTGAGTTTAGTGTTTATCGAATTCCTTTTTTCATGTACCTGTACCTGTCTGTTTTATGTACCTGTCTGCTGATATAAATAGGTAAATAGTCCAGTTGTTATCATCTTTAGAATGATGTTGGGAATAACCAGTTGACTTGTAGGTTTTTTAATGAAATAGCTAAAATTAAAAATATGATGAGAAAGCAGTTTTTACAAGTAATGATTAGTTTTTATTAATTTTTCTTTTAATTCTAACTAAAGTTTGTATTGTTTTTTATAATTTACTTTTTCTTGTAATAATTAAGTTAATATGTTGTGATGTTTAAAGTTGCAGTTTTCATTATATGATGAAATATAACGGATTTTAGGTTGAACCAAATAAATGCAAGTGCTCAATACATTGCATGATATCTGATGTAACAAGAAACAAAAAATCTTATTGCTCGAATACAGTGAATACAGTTTCATCAAATACATCAGTGGAGGTAATTAAAACTATTTTTAATTTTGAATTGTATTCATAATTTATGTTTATATATTGCACTTAATACATAAGAATTTAATTAAATAAAAATGGCAAGTTTCACAATTAACATACCTCACAAATTTACCAACTTTATTTTGAATCCTCCTATTTAAACACTTAAGTAAATTTTCTAGCAATTTTGTATGAAAGATTCTGAAAAACATTAAATTTTTCAAAAATTAATTTTAATTCAGCTTCGGTGAACTATATTAAAATTTTTATTAAGGCATTTTGAATCCAATACTTATTACTAAAATAAAGAATCAATATATTAGATGTGACTTGTTGAAGATATGAAAAGTGTTTAATTTCCTGAAGTCACTAGACATGCATCACATTACTTATCCTACCATGCAATTTTTCAAGAGGATATTTTCCATAGTCAATTAAAATCTCTGCAATCTCACAAGAACTCTGTAGTTCTGTTGAGCTGATAAATTATAGAAAATCAATATTCTGTGTGTCTCAGAAGAAAAATTTGTCATACCCAGATTAGGTCATTAATCCTATTTTTTTATGCACATGATTTAAATCAAGTTTCTACAAAGCTGTTTTTTCTTCAAATCTCATTGTTTATGGTTATTATTCTTTGATTCAAAAAGACTCCAGTATCTTAGTCACATACTTAGTTTCAACTTTTATCTAGACGTTATTGTTTGGTATGTGCATGCGTAACAAAAATAATTAAAAAAATAATATAAAATAAAAAATAGTTAAATTGAAAAATAATAATAACTATTGTTTTGTTTTTTTATTTTAAAACACTATGAGTTATTTTTAAGTATTTTTTTTAATAGAGTGAAGAATCTGAAATTGTAAAAGGTATATTTTTAATTATTTAAAGTAAAGAATGTTTTAACTATACTTATTTTTTTCATGAAGTTTTTGCTAAATTTTATCATTGTGTTTAAATTTTATCTTTGTGTGTTGTTTGTTTGTATGAGTTTTTTGTTTCTGGTATACTTCTTATTTTTCATGATTTCTTGTTTGTCAAATTCACACAATTGTGTGGTTTGGATGCATATTTATAATACTTCTAAACATTACATTTTAACTTAATTCATGAAATGATTACAAATAAAATAGAAACATTTTTTGTTTTTATTTTTGATAAAAATAACAAAAAGTTTTACTTAAACTAGTGGAACTAGTTTAAGTACAAAATAATAATAGTTTAAATAAATAATAATAAAATGATAATAATATTTAAATTATTATATTTTTAATACTTTCTAATAATTGTAAAATAATTCATCCAAACAATTTTATGTCTCAAAGCTGCATATCAAAGTTGCTTTTCAAGCAAAGTATCTAACTAGGTGACTGTGATAAAATCTACACCCTCTTCACCCTTCACATAACTAGGTGACTGTGATGAAATATACACCCTTTTCAAGCAAAGTATCTAACTAGGTGACTGTGATAAAATATACACCCTAAGAGGGTGTAGATTTTATCACAGTGACCTAGTTAGATACTTTGCTTGAAAAGCAACTTTGATATGCGGCTTTGAGACATAAAATTGTTTGCATGAGTTTGCTGTACTATATATTATTTTAATGCTGTTTACCTCCCCAAGGTGTGCACATGCTAAGAATTTTGTGTCCATTTTACCAACAAGAACTAAACAAGGATAACCCACATAAGTAGTGAAATCTTCTGCCAAATTTTACGCCAAGTAATAAAATATGTTTCTGCACAGATATAAATGGTCTGTTTAACAAGTTTAGATTTGAACATTAAATGCTCAAATCCATATATGTGGTCATGATGACAGATGATTGGAGAATTTTTAAAGATTCTAAAAAGAGATCTTTTAAAGCTGCTTTGCTTTATAATGGCAATGTTTTCATTCCAGTTGCACATGTCATATAAATTTAAGAGACATTCGAATCCACAGCAGAAATACTTAAAGTGACAATTTACACTAACATGTCTGGAATGTTTGTGTAATCTGGAAAGACTTTAAGGTAGTTTCACATCTTTCATAACTCACTACCAAGTGAAAAATGTCCTCTTTGATTTAATTTTGTTGCAGGCAAGCAAAATGTACAGGATCAATCTCTTGTGGAACCACTAAAGATTTTTCTGCCACCACTTTTAACTGGGATTAAACAATTTTTCAAGAACTCCAGAGGATGAGGCTTCTTAAAACTGGTGTTTTCATTGAGGAGAATCAAGACTTCATGGTCATAGAATTTTAGTTTTGGAGTTAGCTCAGAAATATTGAGAGAATGCATAAATGATGAGAGAATGCATAATTTCATCTCAAGAGGTTTATAATTGTTTATCAGTGTTATTCGTATTTCTATGTTATTTTTTTTAATACTGTTTAGAAGTCCATGAAAAGTCTGTTTCTCCAAGTATTGATATGAATAACAATGCTGTCAGAGAATCACAACATCCAGTATTGGTACAATATTTTTAACAATTTTTTTGTTATTATGCTATAAAGTATTATGTTTTGCTACATTATCCTTTTTATGGTGTTCTATTAATATTTTTATGGTGTTCTATTAGTTTGAATCAGTTAAACAGCTGGAAAAAAAGTTATTGTTAAATAGTTTTAAACAAAGTCATAACAAGCTACGTTGTCAACTCAATGTGTTAGAGTCAAAAGTATGTTTTCACTTTTTGTTTTTCTATTTTACATTTTTTCTTTCTTTTTTTCCTAATTTTTTTAATTTTTTAATTTTTAGTATTCTACAAAATAGTTATGAAAGTTATTTTTCAAAACTTATGAAGAATTGTTATTGGATGTAAACACTGGTGCACTTAAAAAAAACCTAAAAGTTCATGCAAAGTATGCATGAACAATAATTTCTAAAATTTAACTTTATTTATAATTTTAATTATTATTTATTTATTAATATAAGTTATACTATTATTTTAGAAGTTTATTTTTTAGGAAAATAAAAATTTTAAAAGTATTTAGATTGGTATTGAGCAAAAATAGATAGACAGTAATCCATAATGTCTCTTTTTTAAATAAATTTGTTGTGACGTAAGAATTTTTATTAAGTTTTTTCAATAAATTATATGAAAAATGTATTCTAACTGTAAAACATTTATATATTATATTGTAAATTTATTAATTTATTTACTTTTTTGTTATTATTTTTATTTTTTGTCTAAATACTTTATGTTTATAATATATTTAACTTTTTTGTTTGTATAATAGTTTTTTGCCATTTTTGATTTTTTGATTTTTCTTTCACCTGAAATATTAGGACAAAAAAATTAAAGCACACAATAATATAGTAGTAATAATAAGCAAAAAAAAAACAAAAAAAGTTCAATTCAGTTATTTAAAATCATTATGAGCACTATTGCATTGTGGGCAAGGTACCACATCAGTTTTGAAGTTATAAGTTGATTATCATGTTATTACAAAGAAATTTGGTAAACTTTTAGTAAATCTGCCATTTTTGTTTTCTTGTCAATCTGACAAGGAAATAGCTAAAACAAAATAAAAGTTGCATTTCCTTTAGTGATCCTGCAATTTTTTAAGATAAACATTCTATAAAAAGATGTTTAAAATGGCGCAATAATAGGTGTATATGATGTATATTGCCAATACAAATATTGATTGTATACACAGTGTATATAATAATTCAGATAACACTATTATTTTTAATTTTTAAATAAGTTATATATACTTGTATTAATTGAAAGTGTTTTATTTTAATGTTTATTTTTTTAATAGAAAGCCATATATTAAGTTTATTAACAAAATTGCTTTTTACTCAATTTAAATGTAAAAAAGTTCATTACATATTTTAGATTTAATTTAAATTTAGCAAAAGTTTTTATTAAGGTTTCTTATTTATATAAAAGATACATATGCATAAGAAAATTTTTTTAAAATAATGCACAGTTTTCATATTTTCTAAAACTAATAATTTTAATTGAAATATGTTTGACAAGAGCTAGATTTCATTTATAACATAAAAAAGTAACATTCTAGATAATGTAAATAACCACAAAAAAAATGTATTTAACTGGAGGAAAAAAACAGATTTGAAATCAAATTGTTATAGTCAGTGATAAATTTTTTGATCACTGGCGCCAAAAATGCCAGATGGACAAAATTAAATTTTGTCCCTCTGGCATATGTGGCGCTTGTGTTAAAAGTTTGTATTGGAATTTATAAATGAAACTTTAATTGAACAAAAAAAATTTGTAGACCTTGATAAATAGTTATACTTAAAATTTCATCAGTAGGGGAAGCTATCAGGCAACTGTGAGGACAGTAAGATAAAATTTGAAATTTCAAAATTGTTTAATTCTAGCTTTATTTTATTATTATTATTTTAATTAGACAAAAGACTAAAAATATCTAATTATATAGCTTTTATATAAAAATAACAAATAATTTTACAAAACATGTCTAAAAAAATTTCATTATACATAAAAATATGTGGGAAAATATTTTACACCATCAATCATTTAAAAAATTCATTAATGATAACTCAATCTAGTTTATGTTTCATAATGAATTATAATGTAAAAATTGAAAATACTTGCAACTTTTAAATTTTGCACGTTACAGTTTTTAGTCTAATTAAGGTACGTCCACTTAATGCAATTGATTTTTTGTTTGTTTTGTGCTTATTGTATATGTAGCATTTTACTTGGAGTAAACTGTTACTGCCAAAAAGTAATTGTTTTAAAAGTGTGCTACTTTTAATAGGGTGCTGCTTTTAATAGGGTGCTCAGGTACTTTATAGATGCTTATTTATGTATAAAGGTTTTTAGTTATTTTTGAATTATTGTTATTCAAAGTTATAAATTTAAATGCATGACTTCCTCCCCTAAAGTAATAAAAATATAAAAACAAGGTATTTGTAAATATAAGTGTAGAGCTGAATGAATAGCTTATATTTTATTATTTTTACTTATTGTTATTATAATATAATATGTAACTAAACTCAAACAATATACTACATATTGTTTGCGTTATGTTGTATATTATATTGTTTATTGTTGTTATGTTTTATATTGTTAATGTTATGTTTGATATATTGTATTATTTATTGCTGTATTATATTGTCTTTAATATTTTTTTAGTCCAAAATTTTTTAGGCATATTTTAATTCATTATTTTTGTTGTTAAATTTTGAATTTGTTTTAGTCAAATAATTTTTACTTAACAGGCACTAATAATTAATTTTAGGCTGCATAGTCTAATAATTTTTTCTAAATAGACTAAATAGTTTTTAATTCTAGATTTTGTATAGTCTGTTTTTACTAAAATGGCATTAATTGAAAAGATGCAAATTCAAGGTATTCGAAGTTATCCACCTCATGATTCTGCTGTAATTGAATTTCAGACACCGCTCACCTTGATTGTTGGTAAAAATGGAACAGGGAAAACAGTGAGTGTTATTTAATATGACTAGAGTGTAAAAATATATTGTTTACAAAACCCTTGAAAAAAATTTACTATTATTTGCTTTTAATAAATTATTTTCAAACAATAGTAATTTTTTATTATTCTCAATAATTTTGTATAATATATACTTTCTAACTTTTTTAATATTTTGATGAGCATTAGTAAATAATAGGCATTAAAAAGATTAAAAAATTTAATTGGTTATTTGGTTATATATTTAGTGAAATTACCCTTGGTAATTTCACATAAGCACTCTACATATGCCCAGGTTTTTGCTGAGAGCTTTGTAGTATTTTGATAAGTTGCTTTTGTAGCATTTTGATAAGTTTCAGTAATAATTACTGATAGTTTTAATAATAATAAGTTTAGATAATTTTTTGTCAATAACTTAAGCTTATTTTGCAAAATTAAAAGTGTTTTTTATTACAGTATATACTGATTTTATAATTTAGCAGCTTTGATGCAATGGTCAGGCTTGGCTGACCAAATCTAGATCTCGAGTTCCATTCCCCTTTTAATAATTTAATTTTTTCCCCTTTTAATAATTTTAAATTTAATAATTTAAATAATTCCATAAACAATTCTAACATAACATTTACATTTTATACGCTATGACATTCAAAATAATTAGTATGAATCAAATTTATCAAATCAGACCAATCAAAATAATTAGTACGAATTAAACACATGAACCTAAATAACCAATAGCATTTTATAAATGATCTTATTTTTTATCTTATTTTTTTATCTTCACTTTTGCTGTTTCATTTTATCTTCACTTTCGTTGCAATTAAATAGCGTTATTTGAAATTTGTAACAAACAATTATTTTTTCGTTAAGAGAAATGTGTTTGTTAATTTTCAAGAAATATTTGATTATTTACTTTTTATAAATTTTTTTTAAGCCTTAACATGCTTATTACGTATTTCAAGAAAAAATTTTATACATCTAAATTAGCTTATTTTGTAAAAAAAAAATTGATTTTTTTTACCTTAAGGCCTTTCCTTTTTTTACTTTTTTTACCTTTTTTTTTACATTACCTTTTTTAATTTGAAATGGCTGCAGAATAAGGGAAAAAAAAATCATTTTTGGTCGCATTAAAAAATACAAGATGTTAAAACCTTAAAAATTGTACTTTAATTTATCTATACTAAAGCCAATAAATGTTCTTTCATGTTTAAAAAGTCTCCACAGAAGAGATAATTAAAAAATTTTTTTTTTTTTTTTTGCAGTAAGCAAAAAAAAAAATTTTTTTTGGTCTACAAAATAATGTTTTTTTTTATAAAAAAAGTTTTTTTAGGGTTTTCTTAAAAGTTCAAATGGAATTCTATATAATATTTAATGAAATGAAATATTTTTTATATAATACTTTTTAACTAAAATACCTTTTATGAAAAAAGTAACTTAATACTAATGCTCAAGTTTCTTTTAAACTAACTAAAGACATGTGAACTTTAATGAGATCATTAAATTTAAGTAAATTTTATTTTATACTTATTTACACATTTTGTTTTATGGAAATTTTTAAAATATATATTTTAATTATAAATACAGAAATGGTTAAAATTAATGTTGTGACAAAAGAACTTCCAGGAACTGGGAGTTAGGGCAGATGAAAACAAAAAGAATATTACTTCTATGATGATAGTGGAAAAGCAATGCTATTAAAATTCCCCTAATTAAATGGACTAAAAGATTATTTTCTACCAAGAGTATTTAAGTCCATTTGCAACAGTTAAACAATATTCAGAGAAAGCAACTGTAAAAAAAGTTTCAGCTTGTACATTTGTTGTGAGAACAAAAATCAATCATTTAAAATGTATAATCAGTTTGGCAAGTTTGAAAAAATAATCAAGATGTAGATGGAATGTCTATTTAAATAATGAAATCTGATGAAATCATTTTTAACACCATATATAATATTGTGTAATAATAATAGGTTTTTAATTATAAAAAAATAGTTTATTAAAAACGCAAAACTTTACCTCAATTTTGAAATATTTGTTGAGGTAATGTCGTGGTAAATGGTACTTTTGGAGGAAGCCCTTGGCATTTGTTTGCTGTGGCCAAAAAAGCTGAATTTCACCCACTGTATATTGGTTGTATTTTACTGTGTGACAAAGGTTTAAAGTTAAAGATAATGTTTGAAATAATGAGTTGTAAACATGAAGCCATTTTGCATAATAATATGTACAACTCTTTTTGTTGTTGTTATTTTGTTTTAGATTAGTTTTTTATATCATGTTTGAAAAAGGGTTGCATGTATGGACTTTTTACATCAGCATCAAATGTTTTAATGTTAAGTCAGGATTTGGTTTTGTACAAAGAGTTTAGGATATATGAAAACATGGTTATTCACATGTTTGCTCACAAAGTTCTACTAAGTTGTTTGATTTAAATGTAATTTTATAAATAATGCTTTTATTTTTATATATTTTTAATATTTTTTATTTACAGAGCATTATTGAAAGTTTAAAATATATTACAACTGGAAAACTCCCTCCAGACTGCCAAGCGCAAGCATTTATTCATGATCCTAAGGTATATTGTCTAAATTAGACATAATTTTTTTTCTTTAACTTATACATTTTTAATATTTTTTTAATATTAAAAGCTTGCTGGTGAGAAAGAAGTAAAAGGACAAGTAAAATTAAAGTTTCGAGACTCAAATGGAAATCGTATTATTTGCTCCAGAACAACTGTATCTACACAAAAGGTAATATATATATATATATATATATATATATATATATATATATATATATATATATATATATATATATATATATATATATATATATATATATATATATATATATATATATATATATATATATATATATATCATATATATATATATATACATATATATATATATATATATATATATATATATATATATATATATATATATATATATATATATATATATATATATGTATATATATATATATATATATATATATATATATATATATATATATATATATATATATATATATATATATATATATATATATATATATATATGTATATATATATGTATATATATATATATATATATTTAAATATTTTTTTAAACATAGTATTTCTGGAATTATTTAGAAAAACCAAAGTATTTTGGATTTTTAATCCATCATTTTTGATTTCAATAACTACTTCAAGTGTTTTTAAAAGTTTGTTTCAAAATTTTCTTGTAGGGATTATGTTTGATATATATTTTATTTAAAAATGGTTGAAAAAATAAAATACATTAAATAAAATGTTCATTCAAAAAAAAAAAATCAAAACTCTTAGCAGCAAGTTTTAGGCCACCCATGCGTTCAAGAAAATTAATTTTACTAAAGAGATTTTTATTTTTATTTTTAGAAATTGTACAAAGGCATTAGAGTTTCAGTTTCACCAAAAGTTCATGTTCTTTTAAAGTGCATACCCAAAGTTATTGAAAATTAGAATAAAAAGTATGATATAACCCAGCAAAGAAGTCTTTGTTGAGTAATATCATGCTTTTTTTTATATAAATTTTTAAAAACTTTTCTCATAAATTTAAAGGTTGCTCTATAAAAATTCTAAAGTTTTGTATTGAGGATGCTCTATTTTAATCTATATTAAAAACACTATGTTAATAATCTATGAAAAGTCAAAGAAATAGAATGAAATCATAGAGTGCTCTATGTAAATAGTCTAAGAAAAATCTAATGTTTTGTATTGAGAACAGATTCAGTTCATCAGATTGTAGAATAAAAGTACCTACAAATAAAAATTGAGTCATATATATTATATATAAAAGTATTGTTCAAAGCACTAAAAAATCAAGTTAAAGTTTATAAGATATTTAAAAAAACTTGTCAATGTATAAATAAACTTTAATTTGTTTAAATAATAAAACAAATAAATAATTTTTAAATAATGATTAAATAATTTTATTCAGGTTTTTAATTTCAAATTAAATAGCTTCACACATTTAAATTGCAATCTGAAACTTTTAATAAAACTCTAGTATTGTCGAAAGTTTGCAGTTAAAATGAAATCGCTTTGTTTGTCACAAATGTTTTTAAATATTTATATTAATATTATCTTCTTATGTCATCAGGGTGTTAAGCAGGAATAAATTTGATACAGGGTTTTTACGGAATTGGGAATTTGTCAAAAATATTGCAATCAACTTTCCCCCACCCCTCCGCTGAGATTAAAAATTGTGTTCCGTCTAAAAATACCCTCTGTAACATTAAAGATGAATATGAAATCAATAGAAAATTAAACGTGGTTCATAACAACAATCCAAATTGAGCTCCAATTTCCAATCATATATTAGGATTTATATATTTTTCTATCATAAAGTAATCAGTGTATATTAAATAATTTTTTTTAAGAATAATATAGATAAATTTCACATTTATAGCAATTTCAATTTTATAATTAATAATAATATTCTTTATACAAAAGATCACATTGCAAAATAAAGTTTTAATTACAGTCTCAGCAAAAACAACAACAAATGTTGTTTAATTGTAGAAGAATATTGATCGAAAAGGATTGCATGTCTTGCAATGCCAATATTTATTTTCTCATTCATAGTTATAAAATGATATGATTATGTTATACAAAATATTACATTTTAAATTTAAGCTAGCAGTGAATCTTGTTTTCTGCTATTTAAATTTCTAGTACCAGTTTGTTGTAATAAAAAAGAATATTCTTGTTATTAAATGTATTTAATTTATGTTTTAATGTACGTATTTATGTTTTAAATACAAGCAAGCAGTAAAGAAAAGAAGTCTATTTTCCTTGTTCAATAAATTTGTAGTACCAATTTGTTATAATCATAAAACATTTTTTGTATTTAACTTATAATTCAGAGGTGGTCTTTTAAAAAAATAAGTGAAAATTGTTAAGTAAAAAAAGATTTTAGTTGATGTGATCACCTAATTCAGTTGATATAAAATGCCAAACAAAAAAATTAAAAACAATAACTAAAAGACTTAGGGATCGGCTTCACAATATTTTTGTTGACAAAGCACATGTGCTTGAAGTTGAGTTTGCAGTAAGGCTTAACAACTTTTCAGCCGAAAATGAAGAAGTTTTTAAAGAAATAGCATTTGCAGGTGTTAAACCAAACAAATTTGTTATTATTTTAGATTTTTTAGATTAGTGCATTATTTCTTGCTTTATTTATATAATTTTTGCTGATGTCGGAATGCATTGCAAAATATTATTTGCAAATTATGAGAAATTAGCAAGTTGCTGAGAAAATCCCTAAAATCGCTTAAGAAATCCCAATTCTCAAGAAGTTTAATCAAAGAGACATTTTCACAGTTGAGTCATTTTCTCATTTCGTCAACTCGTTACTGAAATTTTATCCTACAGCTATAAAAACGCAATTCTTGTGTAATTAACATAAAAATCAGCACTGCGGGTAGTAATACTAATGGTTAATATAAACTAGCATTTTATCTAATATTATCAACTAAAATTTAAAATTTTGTGTGCAAAATTGTTAACATAAATCCACTCCGTAGATGTCCTGCATCTAGAACTATATTGTTATACTCAATTTTTTTATTAAGACTAATAGGGGCTATAATTTTGTGCTTTAGATATGCCAATATACAGTATTTTAATAAATATAATAATTTACAACTTATCCTGTTGTAGCTCTTGTCAAAAAATTGCTGTCCTTAAATTTTTTGTCCACTCAATTATTACATTCTAAACTAGTCACTGGTTTGTAGTTTTTACTTATTTACAAGTCAAAATAATGAAAAAAAGTCCCATTCTATGGAATTTATTTACATTTAAAATTATATCAGACTGCACGCATTTTTTATATAAAAATCAGAGCCTAAAAATACCTTATTTTAATAATGATATACTTATTCGCAGTCTACTCTGTTATGCTTTTTTATTCCGTAAAATATCAAATTTTTATAGGACGTGTTTTAGTACTCTTTAAATCTTTTCGACAATAAAAGATTTTAAATACTGTCAACTGTGATTTCCTCTTAATAATGGAGTTGACAACAACATAACGGAACTGACATGCAATGAAATATGATTACCTTGCAGCATATATATATATATATATATATATATATATATATATATATATATATATATATATATATATATATATATATATATATATACACTGCATTCTCTTACTTTCAAGCGGTTGTAAAAAATAGAGTAATTTGTTTAATTGTAAGTATTTTAGTATTAGGATTTCATTTATTATTTGGTTTATATTTATATTTGACAATAAGTTTGGCTTTTAAAATAAATGTATGTCCTGAATCATTTTAATAATAATAATAAATAAACGTTTGGTGTATTAAAATTACAATTATTATACTATTTTTCCAAAAGAAAAACATCTAGGCAGATAACATGAAAACTTCAAAGAAATCTTGTGCTGAAATTCAAAAAGTGTTTCGGGACAGACAATTAGAAAAAAATACAGACACTGTTTGTGAAAAAGAATGCAAACATTGGCATATGCGGCATGAGCAAAAGAAGGTTAAAGTGATTTCAGAGTTATTAGAAAGAAAAAAAAACAAATTGTTCGTTGTTGTTGGCGCGACCAGAAAGCAAAATCTAGAGCTGTAAAAAAAAAAAATTGAATCATCAGAGTCACTGGTACGCGAATTGAGTAACAATAACAAATGCAAACAAAGAGGTAGAGCAAAGACATTTATGAAAAATGTGGAATATATGAGAAACAATATTTCATATACGACATTTAATTATTACCGTCCGTTACCGTCCGTCGATAGAGACACATGTCTGTGCAAAAATACAAAAGCGTACAATTACTTTGTGATAAACTTATTAACCTGAGTGTTTTGAAAAAAAAAAATTTGAAGAAGTAGTGAAACAAGTTTGTTGTAGTACTGATAAAAGAGAATGCATGTTCAGAGAATGTAACATTTGTTTGGACTATTTTGTTTAATTTTAAGCAAAGGATTGCTAAAAGATGAAAGGATTATAGTTTGGTTCCAGTGGGAAAAAGAGAAACAGGAATATGAAAAGAACGGAGAAAAGAAAACAACAAATGTTATCAAAAAAAAGTGTAAAGTATGGAACAATTAAAGATCTTAAAGTAAAATTCTGTGAATCAATTTGAAACGAACTATGCAAGTATGTTTTTATAATAAGACACCAGTTCAGAATGTACAAACATTTAAAAGAAACAGTAAATGTGAATGAAGTTATTATACTAAACTGTTATATAAAATTGTTATGAGAACAGTAAATATGAACGAAGCTATTATTATAGGCTGTTATATGTATTTTTCTGAGAACTATGTGTGCAAGAATTTTGCTGCAATTCAATCTTCACATTTTAAAGCAAGTAACAAACAAGCTACATTGCATACTGGAGTAATTTTTAAAATGGATGGACATCAGTCATTTACAACTATATCCAACTCTTTGAGACACGATCCTCCTTCTATATGGGCACATTTGGAACCTGTGCTAATTAAACTCAAGTTAGATAACCCACAAATTACAGATCTTCGTTTTTTTTTCTGATGGACCAACCACACAATATAGGAATAAGCAAAACTTCTTCTTATTCTCAACAGTGCTATACGAATTAAAATTTCAATTGGCCAGTTGGAATTTTTTTGGAAAGTGGAATTTTTTTGAAAGTGGACATGGCAAGGGAGTACCAGATGCAATAGAAGGATCACTGAAATGTCAGGCAGATCAATTGGTTAATATGAACTGTGACCTTCCAGATACAGAAAGTTTATACAATTTTCTTAACACTCGAGATTCATTAATAAAGTTTTACTTTATCGAGGGATCTAAAATTACTTTTTTTGACTCAAGATGTTCTAAAACATTACAGGCACTATAAAATTGCATCAGCTGCACACAGACAGAGAACTTAGTGTTTTTTATCAAAATTTAAGCTGTATTTGTAAGAGAACTACAGTTTGCACATGCTACAATTTAAAGCGATATATGTTTTCCAAAAGCACTAGCATGGTAAACAAATATTTATGTATTTTATTATTTTGGTAATTTATTTGTTTCTATAGTAATTAAATTTAATTTAAGGACTTACATGATGCAAAATTTCATTTTAATAAGGCAGAATTTGAACAGTGGTGAAAGTACTACCTTGGCTAATACAAAGGTCAATGATTGCCAATTTCAAAATTTAAGCAGCAATATAATTAATATAAGACTCATTATCTTTTTTATAAAGACAATTTACTAACTTTTTATGTATACTAAGATTTTCCCTTGAATCTGAAATGTAACTTACACTATTTTGCTTTTAGATAATAAATAATTAGCAAATATCAGTAATGGAGTAGACATTGTCATATAAAATAAATTTTTTATATCAATAAATTTGGTAATATACTTAACATGTATGCTGTAGTTATAGTACCAAATATATTTTATTACAAAAATAGAGTTACAAAAATAATAATAATTCACAGTTATAGTTACATTGATGTTATGGTAACAGAGTGGAAAAAATTATTGGGACTTATTGCTTGACGATATCCAAAAACATTAAAAAAAGTAGATTAGTGCAAAACCAAATCTATTTTCTACATCCCTAATGATTATACTTAAAATATTTGTTAAAGTTTTATAGATAGCGCACACTTTATTTTCATTGCAACATTAGTTGCGACAAAATTGTTTAATGAAAAATTGACTCAGTTATGCAATCCCTTAGTTATACCAATAATGGCAATTTTATTTCAAGTTTTACACAATTAGTGAATTATAATTTTTTATTTTATTTTTCTATTAGTTTTTAATAATAATTAATTTTCAATAATTTTTAGAACTATTATTAAACTTTAATTTGGCAAACTTTATTTGGAGAATGGAATTTAAAGGAAAAAAAATAATGATAATTTTTTTACCTCTAAATTAGGAATTTTATGAGAATTTGGGAATACCGCGTTTGGCCGGGCGCCACAGGTCTAGTTTACACCCTGGTCATCTATTTGTCTCTACTACTTTATGAAAAAAAATCTAATTAATATTAAAAAATTTACGAAACTGAAACCTTTTATTTTAAATAATTGGTTTTTTAATAGCTATCCTCGGGAATATTATACAAGTTTGATTAACATACATTTATAATTTTAGGAAAAAAAGATTGTAACAAAGTCTTTGGATGGTGTTATTATGAAAATAAGTCCTAATGGTGAGGTAATGCAGATTTTTTTTTTTACAAAAAGGGCATGTGCTATGTACTAAGGAGTTATGTAGTGGCCCCCACCTATTATTACTTCAGTATGGCATCTTCATTAATATTCTGTGTGTACTTGCAATTACAATACAAAATGTATGATATATACAAAAGTAAACACAAAAGAAATTATATAAAAATTTAAAAAATTATAATTATATTTTATAAAAACATTTCCAAAAAAAAAGTGAAAAAATTAGTTATTTTTATTTATGTTACAAAAACATATAAGACCGTGGCTTAATGTAGATAATTTGGACTGCTCTCTCTCTCTCTCTCTCTCTCTCTCTCTCTCTCTCTCTCTCTCTCTCTCTCTTTATATATATATATATATATATATATATATATATATATATATATATATATATATATATATATATATATATATATATATATATATATATATATATATATATATATATATTAGGGTGGGTCATAAAAATTTTTTTTTTTTTTTTGTTACAGGCTCTAAACATTGCTATATATAAAAAACAAACAAACATGTTATTTAACTTAAAAGACTGCCTGCGCTATGAAAATCTTTGCTCCATATATACTCCCTGCATGTTCCCCTAATTAGTCAATCAATTTATGCTTTGTATTAAAATGTATTGCAAGTGGTATTGAAAGTAGTGTAGTTTATTTGTTTTTTTTTGTTTTTTTGTTGTGTACTTTTTAAAACTTTTTAAAACGTAATTTTACATTTTTTGTTTAAAGATAAATTATATATTTAGAAAGAAAGCATCAATAGCCGTTGCACTGATCTATCAAAGGAAGTATGTTTGAATGTTTTTAAATTATTTGGTTGTATAATGCATATTTCTGATGGATTATCAACCAAATATGAAAATTCTTTTTTTGTTATTTGATGTTTTTTAACATCAATTATTTTTATTAAAAGTTTTAATTTTATTTTTTATACTATTTCCAATTTTTTTATTTTATTTATTTTTATTATTAATTTATTCTATTTATTGTTTATTTTTAATTCTATTCATTTACAGGTGTTTTAGTTTCTTAAGCTAATCAAAATTTTATAACATTTTACAATTTTAACATTAAAAACTTGTTTGTAATTGATAATATTTATTAAACACTTAAATTTAATGGTTAACCTAGACTAAACATGTTTTTAAAGACTTTTATCACAGCATTCTTTATCTTGGTTATTAAAATATGAGACTTTTGACAACCTTGTATAAAAATTAAACTAAATTAGTTAATAATTATTAAAATTTTCATGCGTGCTCAACAACAGATTTTTTGTTTTAACTTTCAATGAATGCAAAACAAAATTGCTAAACCTTTTTTTTTTTACTCGTACCCCAGTTTTTATTTTTATAACATTGCAGGACTTTAAATGTTGAAATTTGAAAATTTATGGTTTCTAATAGATAAATGAAACTTAATAAGGCATAAAGAAATTTAGCAAAACTCAGACTAAAAATTTATTGTTTTAAATCTAGATTGTATCTCGACTTGGTGTACCTATGTCTGTACTTGAAAATGTTATTTTCTGCCATCAGGAAGATGCTAATTGGTTTGTTTTATTTGAAATGAATTTTTTTAATATTTTTATTATGTCACACATTATTAACATGCTAAGTTCTTTATTTTTTGTTTAAATTTATATGATAAGATAACCTTAATATAGAAAAAAAGCAACTTGTTTTCATCTTTAAAATTTTTAACAAAAAAAGTTATATGAGAATTTATTTTATTATTAATTTAAAGTTTTTTTCTTTTTTTTTTCTTTCAAATATTTACTATTAAAATAAAATAATACTATTAATAATATAATTATTTTCACTGCAGACATTTAGTATACATCCTGTGTACAGCATTTTAGTAACCATGCAGTACTATTTTTTACAAATCTTTATTTTGTTTCAAACCGTCTGAGTCTGATCATTTGTTTTGTTTATTTTATTAAATTTAGGCCACTAAGTGAAGGGAAAATTTTAAAACAAAAGTTTGATTCAATATTTGCTGCAACAAAGTATGTTTTTACAAAAGTGTTTTTATTTTTATTACAAGTTAAAATAATTTTTGATTAAACCCTACCCATCAGTTACTCTCAACATCATCATTTATCTATATCACCATATCATGACAAAAGTTGTAGTTTTTTACAGTGATAAATTTATTTTAAAAGGTATATACAAGCTTTGGAGTGTATACGAAATCTCCGTAAGGACCAGGTAACTTTTTGCAAAGTTTTATACCTGCAAAGATTTATGTTGTTCAACACCTTTTTGACTCAATTTTTAATAATAAGTTACTTGCAAAACATAATCACATTTTTTTTTTTAAATTTGTTAGCTATTAAATAAATTTAATATTTTCCAACAGGTTCAGTTAGTTAAAGACTATAATCGAGACCTTGTACATCTTACACAAAAGAAAGACAAAGCGCAAGAGGTAGAAAACCTTTGCAGAAAAAGATGTTAGGGTTTTTGTAGCAACAGGAATTTTTGTTTTTGTTTTTTGTAATCATTATAGATTCAGTCAGATCTTTGTAGAGCACAAGGTCAATTACAAACAACTAAAGACCAACTTAAAAAAATTGTTTCTGCAATGCAACCTATTGAAGTATTTTTTTTTATTATTATAATTCTTTTTTTTTTCATATATCTGTGTAATATCTTAAGAATAAGTTTTTTCTTTATAGTGTCAACTGGAACAACTTAACTCTGTATCAGAGGAGGTTTTTAAGCGTGAGAAAGAATTAGGTAAAAACTTGTTGTATAATAGCAAATACAATACATTAAACAAAAAAATGTTTATATACATTAACATTAAAAACAAATTTTTTAAAATGACTATACCAAACTTGCAATTTCAATTTCAAAAATTTTAAGCTATCTTTTCAAAAGAAAGTTTTTATTAAAAATACATTAATATAATATGGTTGTTATATTTTACAGGGACTTTAGAAGCAACTAAAGAACATTTGAAAAAAAATGCTTTACAACTGAGAAATAATATTTCAAACTTGTTTGAAGGTAATAGAAACTACTTTATATACTTTGTATCTACTATTGTGGTAATATTTTATACTGTATTATAGTTTTTATTGTATGTTAATATTGATTATATATATTTTTTGCTGTAATCAATAATTCATTGTTTATTTTAATTTTTATTACAATTGTTTTATTCTATGTCTATTTTTAGTCTGCTAAATAATAATAATGTTAATATATAAGTATGTTGTATATTAAACACTTAATATACTACATATTTACATATTATATTATAAGAGAATATTAAAAGCTAAATATTTTCCTATTATGTTTCATTTTCAGGTGAACTAAGTGAGTTGGAGAAAAAGCGTGCTGAATTTAGTGGAACATTACAAGTGAAACAAAAAAGTTTAATTGGTGTGAGTTTTATTTAATTTATCTAATGTACAATCATCTAGTTTTCCTCAAAACTACAGGGCTGGCTTGAGGTTATGGCCATCATGAGATGCATGTATAACATTACTAGTTGTTTTTGTTTTTTTTTAAGCCAGGAATAAATTCATGACTATTGAATTTAGTAAACATTGAATAGTGAATATAAAAATGAATATTGAATTGAATTCATGACTATTGAATTAGCCGGGAATGACATCAGAAGAAAATTTGAAATGTTTTTTTAATGTTTTTTTGCATGTATAAGTAGGGTGGTCTAAAATTGCTTTTTTTTGGATTCAGGAATTATCTTTTTCCAAATATATCTGGAATTCTGTGTATGTACCTTTTAACTTTTAGTTTTTCCAGATTTCAAAAAGGTCTTCTGAAAACATAAATTTAAATAAATATTTTTGCAACATTTATATATATATATATATATTTATATAAATTGTCTAAAATATTAAAGGGGCCTGTAGCAAGTAAAAACATTTTTTTTTTTAATATAAGAACCTGCATAGTTCTGCATTCTGTAATTTTTTTAGTACTACTTAATAAAAACTTTAAATATAAAGGTAGCATACATGGAATAGATCTTTAGTATTTGACTAATTTTCTATTAACAGTGAGTGGCGTTTATAATTTATTTTATCTAATTTTTTTTTAGCTGCAAACTATGATAAGCGGATTTGAAACTGATATAAAGAAACTAAATGAAACACGAGCTAACCTTGATAAAGAACATGGAAAGCTTCAGCAAGAAGCTCAGGTTTTTTATTTAAATCCTTTTTTTTATATATATACAGTCTGTGCCAAACAAATAGTACACACTATAAATATAATATATTTTATTCATTTTATACTGTTTTAGACATTATAATATCTAAAAAAAGTCTTAATCAGAGATATAATAAGAAACATATTGTTTTTGATGCCGAATGTTTTCTCACGTCAAAATATGGTAGACCATATGATATTTTCTGGTGACAAACGAATAGCACATGTCAGTCATTTAACATTTGACTGCAACAGATGAATTGCTACACTAGGTAATACATATATTAACGTAGACCAAAGGGTCATCATATGTGAGCTAATCATATGTGTTACAGAGGATTACTATGGGAGGTGGAACTAAGTTAAATGCTGAAGAAGTCGCTATGATCAAGGCATTCAAGGCTGCCAATGTATCAACATCTGAGATATTGATACATACAGTGAAGTCGAAAGGTAAGCAAGAAGATTTTGAAGGATCCTGATACATATTTGAAAATAAAATCCAACCAAAATGCTTCAAAATTAACCAAGCGTGACAAACGTCACATAATACAAGTGGCTTCAAACACCGGCTATTGATACACGCCCAGCTGGATATTGATGTGTCATTATTTTGATACAAAGAACATTACATGAAGCCAAACATCTGAGGTATCTGAAGCATATTTCAATGCCGGCAATGCAGAAACATCACATCGAGAAACGTATGGTGTATGCAAACAAACATTTGTCTTGTCCACCTGAGGCTCAATTATTTGGTCTGATGAAAAGAAATTTAATCTTGAAGGTCAAGATGGATATCACTATTATTGGCATGACTTGCCTGAGACTTTCTTGTCCAGACAAAATGGTGGTGTTGGTATCATGATCTGAATTTAAGTTCTTAGAAGGGAAAAAAACAGACTATATTATTACGCTCTCTGATTACTTAATGCCATATGGGCATGCCAACTATGGACATATGTTTGTCTTTATCCAAGATAACACATCGATACATATGGCAAAGACCCTGGTGGAATTTATAACGGAACATGACATCCAGTTGTTTGATTATCCAGCTCTGTCACCCGACTTGAATCCAATTGAAAACATTTGGGGTACTTGTCTCATCCTGTGTATGCCTTCACAGAACTGAAAATGGCCATCCAGATGGAACGGAACAAAATCTCCCAATCTTTGCTTGAATGCTCATTTCCTCCATGCCTAGGTGTTGCATTAATTCAGGTTATTATTGTGCGGCCGTGGCACAGTGGTTAGAGCACTTGCTTTTTAAGCAGGAGATCCAGGTTCGAAATGAGCTTTGGACATATTTTGCATCTCGGTAAGGAGGCATGAACTTCCTGGTTAAATGCAATTTTGCGGTGCTCTGTGACAAGACCTTTAGAACTTCTTGGCGCACCTAAAATAACAAATAAAGTAAAAAAAAAAAATTATGAAGAAAGGTAAGAAGATTGACTGGTAGGTACGTTTCTATGTCTTAGTAATCTCTAAAACCAGCTGTGTAGTGAGTTGTGCTATTGGTTTGGCACATTATGTATTTTTCATTTGATATTTTGACCACTCTGGAAATTTTATATGCCAAAGTTTTTAAATAATGTTAGGCCTAGCCTGTAAGGGTTAGTACTACGGTCATCAACTGTAACACTAACCCTTAAAGGTCATGTCTTATGCACATACATTCTGTTTACATCGTTTTGCAAGCTTTTTATTCTTTTATAGATAAACTATCTTTGTTTGAACTCATCCTTATTTAGATAATATTTTCTTTTAATAAATAGTATGTTGTTGGAATGGAATTTTGATTTTAGGGTTTATATATATATATATATATATATATATATATATATATATATATATATATATATATATATATATATATATATATATATATATATATATTATATATATATATAATATATATATATATATATATATATATATATATATATTATATATATATATATATATATATATATATATATATATATATATATATATAGTATATATATATTACTGTTACCCGCAGTATTAGGAATTAGCTAAATGCTAATATTTATAATATTATATTGCGACTTAAAGTTTCATGTGTTACCACAATCACCAGGCAAGTAGTCAAAAGTTAATTTTGCTACAATGTGTTTAGAAAAAATTTACGGTTTATATTAGTATTTTAGATCGTTATGGGACGGAAACTGTTTAGTAGTTAAGGTTAATGTTATTATTAATTTGTTTTTGGTTAATATATGTGAAGTTGTTGTATGTTTTAATGTTTGTTATAAAAATATGATTTAATAATAATGTGAATTGTTTTTAAAAATTATTGTATTAAAATAAATGAATATAAAAATAAGTTTTAAAAGTGGGTTTAAAGATATAAATTATATTATGAAATATATTACAAAAGCTGTGTATGTGAATAATTTATTGGTTAGCTTAGAGGTGTACGAAATAGGGTTGCGTAGTTAATGTTAGTGGTTATGTTTGTAGCGAGCTTTGTAGTTTTTTAATAAAAACTTGTTTTCGTGGCGGCACTTTGATATGATTTTGTTTCGTTTATTTAGGAGTTCATCAGGTTTAGGATATATAATTGCGAATTTCTCGTATAGACATAGTGGGCACCTTTTGGAAATATTTGAGTAGGGGGGTACAGATTTCAGAATAGACTATGTAAATATTGGGGTTTCGTTAAAATTGTTTTTCAAATCCCAGACGTAGTTTGATAAGGCGGTGGACTTTTTGTATTTAACATTATTGAATGATGATTTGTGATTGTTGTATCTGTTTTTCCACTCGCCTTCAGTTAATCCAATATACACTTTGTTGGGCTGATTTTTAGCTGCGATAATACATTTATATATAACGTTTGTGGATTTACACTTTCCATTCATGGGGCATATATATATATATATATATATATATATATATATTATATATATATATATATATATATATATATATATATATATATATATATATATATATATATATATATATATATATATATATATATATATATATATATATATATATATATATATATATGTGTGGGGGCATATATATATATATATATATATATATATATATATATATATATATATATATATATGTATATATATATATATATATATATATATATATATATATATATATATATATATATATATATATATATATATATATATATATATATATATATATATATATATATATATATATAATATATATATATATATATATATATATATAAGAGCAATTCTTTTAAACTAGTGGCTTTTGACATGTTTGATGTATGTCTTTTCGTTGTTATTTTTTTATGATCTCAAAATTACGTCTAATCCGGACCGTAGAGAAAACTTCACTTTTTAGAATTTTCAATTTAGATATGGTCTTAAAGTTACTTTTAATTCGGACCATAGAGAAAACTTTACTTCTAAACAATATTTTTTCCAGTTTCGTATATCGTTTTTATATCGCGACATATCATTGTTGTATCACCCAAAAAAAACTTTTTAACCACTCATTTGACTTAAATTTATCTGGTCTTATTACAGTATTTAGTTAGTCTTATTCCAATATTTAGTAACATATTATTTATCTGCTGATTTTCATATGATTACTAATATTTTTATGAATTTTTATGTTATATTATCTTATATTCATTACTCAGCTTTTTTTTAATTTTTAAATGCACAATTTTTGTCTTTTATTATTATTCAGAGAATTATATATCCTTCACTACATGTTTACATTTATGCGGGTCTATTTATCCTTATTACAATTACTGGAAATAAATTAATATGTGAAAATAGCTAAACTAAATGCTTAAAGAAATTTGTGTTCTTTGTTGCAATGATAAAAAAGAAATTTGTGTTTTTTGTTGCAATGATAAATATTTTTATTATATTTATCTTTTATGCTAATGTACTTCATTTCTTTCCTCAGGCGTTCACTACCCGTGTGTGACCACTCGGTGAATTTTATATGCCAAAGTTTTTAAATAAAACTTTCTGAAATAGTGTGTGCTATTTCTGAAATATTCTGAAATGGTGTGTGGTTTGGCACAATGTATTTTTCATTTTATTCATTTTTTATTTTTTTCATGTATTAAACAAAAACAAAGACATTATTGTCCATTTTATTGTATTTAATTTCTTAGTTAAATTGTGTTAAATATGTATTAAATTTATACTTCGTACACCTATTTTATTGCTAAATTATTGCATGTGCTATTCATTTGGTGCAAACTGTGTATATATATTCAATTTGTTTTTGCTAATTTACTGATTAAATTTCTGTTATTAAGTTTAATTTAAGTTTTTTTTTTTTTTTTTTATTAGACACATAGTGTTTTGGTTGCAGAGAGAGACAACTTCATTAAAAAAATATCTTCAAAACTTGATCTATCAGGTTTGAACTAAAAAACTATTTTACTTTTAGTCAAAATTCATTTTAATGTGTTTAGAATATATTATATATTTTTGCTAACTTATTTGCATGCAATATTTTTTAAACTTAACAGTAATAAATTTTATAAAAGCATGATTTTATAATTTTTTAAAAAAAAAGCTATTAAAATGTTTAAATAAAACTTAAAAATTTTGTTCTTTATCAGTTGGTCTATTTATTGACCCAAACCAGTCAGTCAGTCAGCCTATTCATGTAAAAGTTAATTTAGTAATGTTTTAATTTACTAAATAATAATAAAATAAAAAAGTTCTTAAAATATTAAAAACTAAAGATGACTGAAATTCTTTGATATTTATAAATTTAATACTTTGTGAAATAACACAAAAATGTCTTTATTTTAAAAGTAGCACTGATTAAAAAGGGTTTTTGTAGTTGGTCTATTTATTTTGTGGTTCGTCTATTATTTATTGTGTTTGGTTCATTTTGATAAGGTATGATCTATTAAGTTTGATGAGGTTTATTCAGTTGACCTTTTATAGGTTCAACTTTTATAGGTTCAACTTTTAAAGGTTCAACTTTTATAGGTTAACCTTTTATAGGTTCAACTGACTAAACTTATTTTGATGTACAATATGAAATTAACAAACAATTAAAAACAAATAAAAAGTAGTATTATCATTTTTTTTTTTATATTATGACATTATCACAGAAATGAAAGTATTTTTAAACACTCCCCCGGTTAGGATTAAGGCCTGGTAATGACCTGGTAAGGCCTGGTAAGGACCTGGTTTCTCATGTTTGTGATAACTCTGCTTGTTACTCTTTGGTTGGGTTTTAAAAACTAGTTTTTATTAATGAAAGAGAGAATTGTGTAAACTTTTATTTAGTGTCACCTCTAAAGCCTCGCTGATCCAGGACAAAAACAGTTAAAACAAAATAAAAGAAAATTAGTATAATAAATTTAGTTATGGTTAAGTTATGGTTAATATAAGTTATGGATGACTCCAAATAAATAGAGATAATTTAAAAAGCTATAATGGTATGTATCTTTGACTTGCACTATATATTTACATTTAGAGCAACTTAGAGCAAAGTTAAAAAGTTAATCAAAACTTTACATTAGCATATATAATGCAGTAGGGTATAACCATTTAAAATGGTAAAAAAAAAATGTTTACTAAGTTATCTATCTTTTAACTATCACTATATACCTTTCTAACAATAACAATTAAAAAAACAGAGCTGTTTGAAGCAGTAAAAGAAAACAAAAATAAAGTAAATGGAACAAAACAAAAAAATGATTTTTCTAATCCTTTCTCTAAAGATAAGATGAAACTACCTGAATAAGTGAGACTCTTTTGTTATTTATATTAACTATTCAACTGTTAAAAAACTCAGCAGAAAAAAAAAAGTAACTTTTTATTCCTTTATGATGAAAATGTGTAAAAATACTTTTAACTTTACTCTACAGAAAAACTATTTTACCACTATTTTTAAAAACTAAAAATTCTTTTTTAAACTTAGTTATGATTAGAATAAATGTTTTTATGTGATTTTTATGATGAAATTCATAAAATCAGATAAGAAAAATAAGTTTGCAATTAAAACTTTACTCTGAAATTTTAAATTTTATAATATAACGACTCTATAAGAAGTAATGTCTTGACAAATAGCAAATGTCTTATCTCTGTTCTTTAAAAAAAAAAGCTCAATTTTTGATTTACTTAATAATATACTAAATATAAATGTAATATATAAAGTCAGTGGATTTTGTTCAATCTGATTGGTCAAAAAGAAATATGATTTAAGTATATTTAAAATAATTAACTAAAATAATCATCATAGTTAAAATTACTATTAATCATAATAACTTGGGAATTTTTTTTTTATTGGTTTATTTTTGATTATTTATTTGTCATTAATATTATTATTATTATTATATATGGTACTTTTTTTTTACCTTATATTTTTTTTACCCTATAGAGGAGACTAGGGAGACGCCAGACATTTTTTCTTTTATTTGTGTTTATAAGTATATGTATATAAGGTTTTTTTACCTTATGCAGTTTTCTGTAGAGCTCCATATATTATTTTCATTAAATATTTTAAGATAATGTGAATTTTACCTGATGTGTTTCAGGTTTTCTTTCAGGTTTTAATGAGGATACTTTTACTCCCGAATGTGCCGATCAGTTTTTACAAAAATTAAAAGATTTATTTCAATCAATTGTTTCAGAAGGAAAAAAATCTAGGGTTATTTTTAATTTGATCATTTAAATTTTTTTCTCTCTAAATTTGATATGATATCTTAGAGACTGACATTGAAATTTTATTTGTAAATGTTGTTTTTTAATATTACTATTAATTTGATTTTAGAGCAATTATGAAAGCCAGTTGAATACATTGGAAGAGGAAATAAAAAATTGTGAAAAGGAAATTAATGGTATTGAGGGGGCAGTAAATGAAAAGCAAAGTATAATTGTAAGTTTGTTTAACATATAAACACATAAATATTATTATTATTGTTAATAATATTCTTTAGTATATGTTATATAATATAGTATATAAAATACTATATATTTTATTATATAACATTATATAAACTATATATTATATTACATAATATATTCTATAATTTTTTTATTTTGTTTAGAACAATAACTTAGTGAAAATAAGAAGAATCGAAAATGATCTTGGTTCACTATCTTCTGCTGCAACTCGACTTCAATCTCTTGAATCTCAGTCTAAAACTGTAAAGGAAGAATTAGATGAGTATAAACAGAGTGTTGATTCAAACACTATAAATAAAGACATAGAGAGGCTTAAAATTAAAAAAAAGGAGGCAGATGCTAAACTTGCCAAGTTAAAGCAAGAGCAATCAATGATCTACCAACAATCAAAAGCACAGAATAACGTTGAGTCTTTTCTGAAAGATCAAGTATCAAAGCGTGATAACATTGAAGCATTGTAATTTTTTTTTTGTTTTGATATTCAACTCTCCAAGGCCAAGGAGCTACTTCAATCAAGGAGATTAATTTAGGACTACTTTTAGGAGGCTCGATTTATTTTATTTTACAACCCTCTTTCAACTCTATAGCTCAAAATCATGAACCTTGACGAACAAAACCACTGTGAAGAAATACTTGTTACTTTATTGTTTTGTTAAATGTTTTTCTTTTTTTTTTATATAGTTTTTTTCTTTTAGTTCAATTTTATGCTTTTTATTTAGGTTAAACACTCATCTTCCTAAATTAGAATCATTATTTGGATTCAAAAAAGTTCCTCCTAAAGAAGATCTGAAGAAAGAGTTATACACTTACATTAAAAAAAAAGAATCAGAAGTGAAAAATGAACGACAGAAACATTTTGAAGTTGCTCAAAGACTTGCAGGGTTCGAAAGTAATCAAAAGACAATTATGTAAGCTTTTTATGCTTTACTCCCATTTACTTTAATTTGCTGGTGTTGTTCTTTAAACTCATACAACCAATAGTGACCTCATTCATTCTTATTTTAAATAAAAACATACATGTTTTAAATAAAAACAAAACAATTTTGTAAACATAAAATGTTTATAAAATTTTATTACTGATTTTTATTGTACAGTAGGAAACATTCTTTGTTTATTTCTATCGCATGATAACATAAGTTATGTATTTTTAAAATGATATAATGAAGCTTTCAAACAACATTGTATGAAGAAAATTTGTACAATATTGCTCATTCTTTATTAATCTTTATCTTTTGATTTTTCTTTATTATTATTATTTATTTTTTTTTGTATTACTTGTTTAAAAATTTATAGCAAAATTGAAAACAAAAAGGAAACAAAACTTTTTTAAAATAACAAAAACACAAAAATAGAAATAAAAACTTTATTTCAACTTTTTTATTTTTTGCCTGGTTTTAAAAGTAGTTTAAAATAATATCAAATTCAAAAATTCTTTGCAAATTGTTGAAACCGTTGAAATGTTATGAGTTTTATGAACTTGATGAAATCTTGGATATATATTTTTAAAAGTTTCATTTTTAGTTTGCAAACTTCACATTTTATCAGTTTGCAGTTTGTTTTACAGTTAAAAATTAAAAAAGCTGTTTTATTCTTTAAATAATTTTTTGATTTTTAGTTTTGCAATCTTCGCATTTTATCAGTAATTAAAAAAACAAACAAAAACTCAAGTATCTTTTAAAAAGATAGAAGCTTGTAAATTTTAAAGTTTACAATCTTTTATCGTTTCAAAAGAACTTTCAACTAATATAAATAATATCTAAATAAATTTCTGACAATAAATTAATATTTATAGTGATATGATGTAGTAGTTCAAGTCAGCATAAAATTACTTATGTATAAAAAAACCACATATATACATATATGGGCAATTCCATTTTTAACGTTACACGCGCAACAATTTTATCAAATATTTGCCTATTTAAACAGTAAATTAAACTTTTAGCTATTTTGTATGAAAGCTGTTAGTCTAAAGAATAAAATAAGCTAAAAAAGTTTGAGTCTGGTTGAATAAGGGCGAACTTATTACTAAAAATGCCACTTAACTTACGTTACATAGAAAACTAGGTAAAAAAATTACTTCAGCTTTTAGGTCAGGTTTCTGCAAATCAGTAAAGCGGTTTATGTTAGAAACTTTCACAAGATGATAAGAATTCTATGCCAATTTAAAAGATATAAAAAATTTTATCATAGGTGACCAGGTAAGGAAAATAAACTGGTTTTTTTTGATACTATGTA